CAATAAGAAAGGTGGAAATGGCAGCCAGGTCTGTGATGTTCCAGTACTCCTCCATCCACACACTTATCTTCTGTCTCAGCTTCCCCGGCTCTGACATTAGAATCTATACACCAGGGTTTAAAAGTCACAAAATATCTCTAACACATATAATGACTCGAATCAGATCAAACTGATCGTATTTAACAGCTTGTACCTGTCTGACTTTTTCAGTGCCAAGTGTGAGGATGTATGAAATGACAGTCCACTCTTGTACAGATGGCCATCGCTCCATTTTCACCAGGATTATGTAGTTGTACAACATCAAATAGCCCAGATAGGAAATCTGTTTGAAGAAGAATACACCAAAATGCCAACTTAAGTCTTTTCACTTTCAAGTTAAAACATATTATGATGGATCTTGTTTACATGAAGGAAACTTACAGTGTTGAACCAAAATTTGGTGAATGGCGCATCATAAAACTCAAAGAACCTTTTTCCAATGGGGATTTTGCGGACATTAGCGCTGCCCTCCTCTTCATCCCCCTTGTGGGAAGTTGCATCAGCGTTAGGGTCCTACAATACAACAAGAGCAAAACTCTCATTCTTCAGCTCATCATTTCTCACTCTTGACAAAGAAAGGCATATAAACAGCAGTGTGAACCTTGCTGGATTTTTCGTCTTCTTTGTCTTTCCCATCTTCTTTGCCTCCAGGTGCTTGATGATCATCTCCAACACGGAAATCCAACAGTAGAATGAAAGGTGGGAAGATTATTCCCAGAATAACCTAGGTGAGAAAATGATCACAATTTAAGTTAGAGTGAATTATTTTACTCCTATACTGTGAAGGCAGCACTATAAATATTACAACTAGTGATGTCCTTATTTATATTAATATTTTTTATGAATGGCTAAAGGAAAACATTTTGTGTCAACCTTGAGGCCAGGATTTTTTCCGATCCTTAGGCCGCCCATCCACATGTCAGTGAGCAACATCTGGCTGCAGGTGTGGGCAATGAAGTCACGTTGCTTAGCAGCCACAGCCAGCTTCAGACAGGTGGAGTTACTCCAGTTAACCAGCTCATATGTTAAGAGTTTCATGGCCACCTGTTCATCGTGCTTGTAAGACTGGTCTAACAGCTCGTAGGCCAGTTGGCCAAATTCCCTGTGAAACAGAGAGAACAATAAACAATCATTTTTATTATTTATAGCACTTCTCTAAAAGCGTTTGAGATCACAGAGGAGCTAATAAAACAAATAAATAAATAAATGCAGAAGTATGAGAAGCAAAAGAGAAGTTGAAGTTAATTCAGATCATCACATAACAGTTATCATAAAGTCAGCCTAACCTGTTCTGAGTCATTAACAGGAAACATACAGACATAAAGGTGCTGAAATTATTGTGATATGCGCCTGTGTGCTGTTATCTTAAGATAGTACCTTGCGATGCTACAACTGAAACCTATATGCGAGATGTTTTATATACTGACTTAGAGTTGTTCTCCAGATCTTGGGAGATGTCATCCACCAGTTCACTCTCTGAGCACTCGTGGGCCATGGCTTTATACAGTTTACAGGCCACCAGGGCTTTCGCCATAGCTTCTTCTCCACGCTGCCAGAGGAACAGCGCCATCTTCTGCCGCTTCATCAGCACTGCCCACAGCATCAGCTCGTGGAAAGGGTACTTAAAGCGACAGACCTCAGGGTCATCCACGTCAATTTCCACCTCTTCCTCTTTCTTCTTTTTTGGCTTTTTCTTGCCTTTTGTCCTAGGTTCATCATCCTGACAAATTGAAAAAAATTTGATTATTTTGCTGTGTTGGTTGCATTGTTTCAGCTACATATTATTTTGTTATTATTTTATTATTTGAAAGGATACTCCACCTCCATTCCTAAAAGCTTCAAAGCCTTTGGCTGCAAGAAGATAAGAAATCATGATGATTAATATCAAATGTTACTTAATATGACGAACAAGCTATTATCAATTATTTTCTTCCACTCATGCATACCCTTTTAAGTCCATACAAATTATTGTAGAGGTTGCGGAAAGCCTTCCTGGTGTATTTGCTCCTGTAAGCTCCACCCATGAAGCACTCCAGCACCAGACCAATATCAATCAAAGTAATCTGATAATCTGGAGGAAGGTTTCCCTGCAGAATCACCAGAGTAATATATAATGTAGGAAGTATATAACCTGAAATAGTTTAATGTTGGACATTAAGCAGCAAAACCTTTTCATGAGAATGATCAATTTTACCTTTTTGACGTCCCTAACCACAGCATTCAGTGTATTAACCGGTCCAAGTTTCTGACAGAAGTGAGAGGAGGAAGAAGGAGGTTAGAATTAAGTGTCAACTTTTTTTTTCATATTTGTTTGTATTTTGAGCACTTCAGAATTGGCCTCATTTCCATTTCCTGCAGTGTGTCAGGCCTACCGTGTTGTATAACTCCTCCAGTCTGGGAATGGTGAGGAAGTGGTGAATATTGACCCCATTCTCAAGGAGCAGCTTGACAAAGTCCACTCTGTCCAGCACCAGAGCATCCATCATAGCCTGCTCCAGAGAGTTCACCTAAGAAAAAGTCATGCATAAGACAACAGACACCAATTATTATTTTCATTCGCAGCCCTCATTACAACATATTCTTTTATTTTAAACTGAAGTGAGAGTCATAAACATCACTCTTACCCAACGAATCATCTCCAACTTCCTCGGGTCTGTTTCCTCTGGAGGTTCAGGCTTTGCCTTTCCCTTACCCTTACCCTTCTTTGCCCGGGTTTTGTTGCGAGGAGCGGTGGCAGGACTCTTTTGCTTCTCCTGGGTCGGGGTTGCAGTGGCTGTAGAGTTGGCCATGGCACCAGCAGGCTGATAAATAAATAAAATGGTAGCTTTTAATTGATTAAGCTTCAACATATCAGTCTCTCTTCTGCTGTTAGTATTAATTTATTACTTTGTATATTAGGAATTTGGTGTATTTGAGAAAAGAGAGCATAGAGAAACCCTCTCCCCTTCAACAGATGAATGTAAAAACAGACTGCTAGTGTCAAACTCATTTTTGAGTGGAAGGGGATTTTATGCCACTATATTTCAAATGATCATTTTTTCAAAACCAAATTCTTTCCTTCAGCACTAAATACACCTTGTCAACTTTGCCACTCACTGGTAGGTTGTGTCCATAAACAAAAATGTGATTGCGAGCAATATCCACTCTGTTCCAGGCCAGAGCCAAACTGAGCTGGTCAGCTGCTGACGCATTTGTGCCTGATGCAAAAGAAATGGAGATGCAGAGAAGAAGAGAGAGAAAAGGTAGCATGTAGTACTTCGCAAGAAAACTATTGCTCTGATGTAACAGCATGCATGTTGAGATAATACCTTTTAACAAGGCAGTGAGAATGGCCATTTCAATATCTTGTTGTCCTTCAGAACCCATTCGAAAAACTGTGATCTGCATGTGAGAAAAAACAAACGAAAATAGAAGAAACGATTGCAGACGTGAAGTCATATATTGTGATGGTTGAATCGCTTAATAACAAACCACATAAATTAATGGATGAATGAAAGAATGAGTGAATTTGTGTGTGTTCCCACTCTTGCTGTAGCTGTAAACATGTGGCGTTGTCCACTGAAGGGAGATTCTTTCAGCGGGACCTCTCACTGCAGCTCTCTGTGGCTGACCCTTCGAGCACACACAGCTAATTTTCTTGTCAGACAGTGTGATAGTGCTGTCCTTGTTATAGACTTGACTATATCAAATGAAATTACACTGACGGTTCTGTCACATGTGCAGCCATGATAAATGGGATTAGGTTGGCATGAATATATGGCAGGACGCCAGAGCTGGTCTTGGGATGCGTTAATAATGAGCAGTCCACATCTTGAAGACTGGAAACATGTGTTGCTCTTTCAGACAGTTGTAGGGTGCTTTTTTTTTGCAGATAGGGTGACTTTTATAATAACAAACTCCTAATTTGTTTAAATGTTGTATCCTGGGGTTACATCACGGCAAAATTCTGCCCTCTGAATGAGTGTTTTTATTTGTCTAACCCAGCTGTTCACATGGGATGCACTTAGGATGAAAGGATTATGTGGGGACTAGACAGTGACACTGATTCACCTGTAGGTTAGTCATGGTACTTTAGATTAAGAGCAGGCAATATTGTGGCCTCTTAGTTGCGTATAAAAAGCTCAAACAACTTGGCGGTTCTGTCACATTGTCTGGGTCGGGTATGAGTGAAAACTAAATGGCACGTAAAAAAAGCCTGCAGTGGTATCATCTTCGAAAAAGCAGTTTAAGTTGCTTATCTGAGTGTGTTAGGGGCATTAGGCAGTCTAATACATTGGGGCTAGAGGATGCAGAGTAGATGGTGAAGTGATAGCACTCTGGGGACTGAAAAAAAAAAGCCTGGGGAGTGGAGAGAGAGAGAGAGAGGAACCTGGCTCAGGATTAGGGAGATGGATCCTCTCCTCCATCTGTGTGCTGCATGCTTACTGTGAATGGATGAAGTGAGAGCCTCTGCTAAGCAAGTGGAAGTGTGCACTGATCTTTCCCACCCAAATGTATGGAGTCTGGAGATTATATGCGCTGGGTATTACAAACTACTTATGGCATTACTTATGCCTACATAAATCTGTTGGAGATACACACAAATGTTCCCCCTGTTTATGTACCAGGGTCTCCAGCAAACACTTTGGAGAAACGCTCTCAGCTCAGTGATTAATATGCTTTCTGTGAAGACTCTTACCAGGGTGTGTTTTTCATCACAGACCCATGAGCTGTGTTATTTACAATGAAGTAAAGTGTTCAAATGGCAGAATCAGATCACCACCACTTTACAGCTGTGTGCTTATACGTGAGGGTTGATGATGACCTACAGTGAAGCTGTGAATGCCACAGATTACATGACATACCACACACGACCACAACAAGAAGAAATAACAAGCACATTGTGGGGATTATGTTTATTCAATATGTTAATGGAAATACACAGACGAGTGGAATGGATGGATGACAAGATGGAGACCAGATGTTTCAACTCAGAAATATTTATTGATTGACACAGAAATGTTATTTTCAAATACAAGATGATTGTGAAATATGTGCAGGATCTTATTTTTCACTTTTATGAGGGTTTTGACTCCCTTTATTCTTCTACTCACCAGTTCCCTTTTCTTCATGCACTCCATAACCATGAGGAGGATCTGCTGCGATTGGCTTTTGGTATAATTGAAAGTCTTCTGAATAGTCACCAAAAGTTGCTCTCTGACATCATCATTTACCAGGCTGGAAGGGGAGATTAAATGGGGACATTTCAGGGATTTTCGGGGAAAATATCCAAGCACAGTGAAGGAGAAATCATCTAAAATCTCACCCGCCGTCCTCTGAGAACTTGTGTGCGAAGGAAATTATGTCAGAAGCCCGGCCGCTTCCGTCACACACTACCACAGGGATAGGAGGGTCATCTCTCAGACTCTCCAGTGCAATGGAGATCACATTAGGACCTCCCTCCACTATCAGACACACTAGAGGAACCCCCTGGCCCAAACCTGGAACACACAGTCAAAAATTGTCAGTCGTTCCCTCCATCCGTTTATTACTATAGTTTCACCTTATAATAACCAAACTTTGAGCATGAAATGTTGAAGCAGATCACGTTGATGTGATGTATGAACAGACAAACCAGAGGAGTGAAGTCAGTGGTGACAGCTGAGCATCCCTTTGCTGTCCCTGCCTTATCCGAGCTCCAGGCATAGGATGACAAAGGGAAGCCCACAGGTCACAGAGGAGCTCTCCATCCACATGTCCAGCAAGACTCACACACCATGGATGATGGGCTATGTTTTTGTGATGTCTGTGAGAGCACTGTGTGACTTACGCGTGTTGATCTTCTGCAGGGAGATGTGCTTCTCCAGCAGCCGACGGAGTTTGACCTCAGAGCCGTACTTCCCACAGGTGCCGTTGTCGGTCAAGATGAAGTGCGAGTGGCTATTGTTGAGCACAGCCAGCTTGCTCAGTGGGTTTGCCATTGTCTGATAGGGTCTGTTCACCTGGAAAATGAAGAAGAAATTAGTTTCAAGAGGAAATAATAGTAGGTTTCAGGAGACAAAATGAAGCTGCAAATGTTCTCACATCTTTTCCAATGAGATCCTCCTTGTTTTCCAGGATCCCCCATGGAGCAATTCCGATTGCGCACACCTTTCCTCGTGATTTGGAAGAATGTTCCTTTAAGGCATCCCCAACATGACGGATCACCCCTAAGGTGTAAAGAGCAAAATATAGCAACATGAATAATGATTCTTTCAGCTGCCTAATGGGGCTGCATCATGGGACACACTGTGGTTACTGCACGCAAAATCCACACTGATTGTCATCTGTGATGAATTGTCCCACAAAAGCTATAATTACAGTGCTTAAACCTGTGACAATGGGTTGGTCAAATCTCCCCCAGGAAATTGCAAAACAGGTATTATGTAATGACAATTAGAGCAAAGGTAATCTTCTAATGTCACAAACTGTTATTTGTTAAGTGAACATTAAAAGCATGCCTGAACTGTCAGCGTCCTACCTGTGTTGACTCCACCCGTAAAGATCCAAGCTCCAGTGGTAACAGCAGCTTTGATCAGGCCTTTGCCAAACACTTGCTTCAGTTTGGGCTGGAGGTCAAAGTTCTGGAGACCGCCATGTACGGAGATGAGCAAGGTGGGCAGCTCCAACTGCCAGTCCTTCACCATTAAATGCAGGAGGTTGTCAGGCTTGGTCTCATAGGAGACTCGGATATACTAGGAAAGAAAAAGAAGGGGAAAGTACAGTGAATACAGATTGGGACTTTCTCATCAAACACATGACATCCACTCACTTATCTCATTCTGTTGCTCTTGAGAAGAGCAACTATGTAAATGAGACTCACCATGGCCTTGTTGATGAATCCCCCACCCTGGAACTCGATTAAGCCGAAGGCGTCCGTTGGGTAGGTCCTGGTGTGCTTGATCACACTCCATTTATCCTTTGGGGTGTCAATCTGCACCAGCTGGTTCGTTTCCTCTACTGAGTTGGCACCAGGAGGGATGGCCGCGTGCTGCGTCGTCAGCTGACCACAGGCACATCTAGATAGATCACACAACAAGCATGTCAGTCCCGGGCCCTGTGTGGCATGATCTCTGATCTCTAAACTCTAACGTATGCTATCCAGAGTCTAGGGTATGAACCATGACCAGTAGTGAATGAGACAAGTCAAAGACTGTTATTTTGTCTGCTGATGAAGGCTGGGTTTTTTCCTCGAAACACACATCGCACAGGCTCTTTTATGACTGTGCCCATTTCTGGGAAATGCGTGCCTCAACAAACAAAGGGCTGCGCTGCTTGGCTGCTCTCAGCCTGTTCTCGGAGCCCAGGATAGTCACTGTCCCGCAATACACTCTGAAAAATCATTTTTAATCCTGTTGAATGTCGGGTAACCTGTAGTCGGTGTCAGGATTTAGTAAATCAATGAATAGCTGGTGAGAAATAGTTTTAAACTATTTAAAACAATACTTTAAAAAAAAAAAAACAAGAAAATTGTTTGTAGTTAGCTTTTCTGAGGCAGTGAAAAAGGGCAACTAAAAAAATAGTTTTAAGAGATTTTGAGGTAATGTTCTTTATGTTATGTCTCATAGTAAATTATAAAGACATAGCTGCTGTTGAAACCTATGTCCATATTTTTACCACAAGTAACAAATAACCATTTAAAAGGTCATTTGACAACTATTACAATTACCTGGTCGGGTCCTTGGTGGGAAATATGTGAATGCATTCTCTTTTAAGAAAGTTCCTCTCAATCCAAGCTTTTTGTGCCTGTAAAGAGAAAACAGAAAAGAGAGAATATCACTGTCACTGTCACAGGGAGATCATCTTTGCGGATATCTGAATTTAAGTTTCACTATCAAAATCCTCTTAGTAGTAATCCTGAATAAAAGATGAAGAGGAGGAGGAAATATAATCAAAGTAAAAATGCTTCAGGAGAGACTTTGAAATTGCATATATATGTATCACACGTCAACAGGCAAACACAAGAGCGTGTTTTGTTACTCCTGAGATTCCTTATCAGCTGATAAGCAGCCAGTGAAAACAAAACATTAAAGACCACACAAAAGTACTATGTCTAACCACAAATTCTGCTGTCTGATTACTGTCTGATGTTTTCCCAGTGCTGAGCAAAAATGACCTGAGTTCAAAGCAAAGTTTCTCTGACGGCCATTGTTCACAGTGGAGGCCCAATTAAAACTGAAGCACTGGAAGCAAATCTTTCCAAGAAAACACTCAAATGTTTTAATAATAAACAAAGTTAATAGCTTAAAACATACTGAAAAAAATCTCAATCTCAATTTACTTTATCTGTCTGTCAGTCTGAAGTCATAGGATTAGAAATGAAAAACCATAGATAAATTCTAATGAAGTCTTGTGGACGGTAACTGTTGCGGCTCTATCTCTCTCTCTCTTTATCTGCGCAAATGGCCTCAGCCAGCTTGTCAGTGCAGCAGTAGCACTTTTTCTGTATTTGTCTACTGAAACGTTCAGATCATATTAGTAATAATGCCAACCGAGATAACTGATTTCATGATCCCAACATCTTTATATCATACATTATTTATCATATATTCTCATTTACACTTAATGAATACATATGTATGGCTTGTTGATATAAATATTTACAGATACTGTGTCCTTTGCATTTGCCACATTACATATGCATATTATTTATTTTTCACTACTTATGTTTGTCTTAATGAGTTTAACTCAAACAGCACTGCTGTTGCTCTTTATTATTTACTCTACACTTTCATTCTTCCCTTTATATATAATATAAAACATTTTCTTTTCTCTTCCCCCATACTGTTGCTACTTCAACCCGATTTCTTTCAAACATATAATAATGTAATTTTGTCTTAATCCAAAAAGTAATGTTTTTTTTTTTTTGCATTTATATACTTACCTATGTAAAACATTAAACTAGTTATTTGCATTAATACACTTTGACTATTAATAGCATATTTAAATCACAAATACTTTTACCTATGTAGGTTATTGCTAATATATTGTTGTTGTTTTTTTCAAAAAGTCCAAAGCACAGTGGGGTTGTTGCTGTCTGTCTTGTCTCAGCAGTTTTCCATCTCATTGTTATCATGCATCATTAGGCACCCAGAACTCATACAGTGCTGCCTGTTCACATTAACCACATTTAAATTCACGTTCTTTCTCTTGCTACTCAGTAATATGAAACAAATGCTCTTATAAAAGCGGTGAAATTACATTTTAAAAGAGTTGCAGTTACAGAGTGTAGATACACTTACGCAAAATCTTCTGTTCGAGATGCAGAGTCCTACCTCTAGTGCTGCTGAAGATAAAGCCTAGAGAGTGGTGAGGAAGTCTACAGCCTGCTGCTCCTCTACCCGAGCCTTCTCCTGGTGCTGCACTCCCAGTCGAGTGCTCTCATTGAATCCCACAAGACATGAAACTTCTTCACTTTATGAGGGCCAGTTAATATGATGAGCATGTGAGCAGGGTCTTTGTTCGCCCAAGTCTCATGACTCCAGTTCAAGGTAATCCTTTTGGGAGTCCCATGACCCCTTCTCCATGCCCACAGGGTATTTTCATCCTTCGCTTGAACAAGGCACAATAAATCTACTTTGATAACTGGCCCCTAATCTCCCAATTTGTTGAAAACTCCTTTCTTTGTGTTCACTTCACAGTGTGGAAGATCTTAGCTTGTGTGAGGAGCAGACTGACCAAACTAAAAGCACTGCAGTCTCGTTCAGAGGCTCCCCAACTTTTCATTAGAAAATATTCACCCCCTCCAACTACTTTGATTTCAACCCAATTTGCATAATTGAGAGAATTGGATGCAGGCATTCTTTTGGAAGGCGCCTTGTTAAGACATGACTGGTCTCCAGTTGGGAGCAAGGTCAGTCAATGCTAATTGCAGTTAATCTGTATTTCCACCCACCATGTTTTTGTGGAGGAAAAAAAAACTCAGCGCTCCAGCTATTCAGTATTCTCTTAGTCTTGATTTTTAATTTTGGTCATGTTAAGTGGATTTGCATTTAAAAACATCAGTGATTTTGTATAATAGACAGCCTTCCAGTGGGCTGAAAAGGGATGTTACTGTTTAAAAATAAATATATTTAGCTTACTTGCTGCTGACTGATATCCAGTGCTTTAAACTGTAGGCTCAAACAGATCATTCAGATATCAGTAGGCTTCTGTTTTGGTAGGGCAAGGACATATTTGACCTATTTAGATATGTTGGAAGTGAATCCTGTTTATTGTACATGTTGAACTTGATGTTATTAGGGGCTTTCAGGTGCATACTTAAATAGCTAGAGAAGGCATTAGGTGAGCTAAAAGCTGAGATGGAGTTAACAAGCACAAAGTTGTAGACATCCATTTAAAACCTTCCTCATGTGAACTGCGTTGATAAGCACTCCTTTTATGGTTGAAGTGAGCAGTTTGAGCCTGACTGTAACTTACAGCGAAAAAGACAAGGGAGGTTGGTGGTTGATGACTCAGAAAGCCAGGGAGAGAGAAGCCTAACATCCCCGCCAACTTCCCCCTTTTGGTCCTACTCTGGCAAAAAAACAACAAAAAAACGCTTGTAGGCCGTTGTCAATTATAGCCGAAGAAAACAAAAGTGCATTTCCAGAAGGGCTTGGTGAGTATGACGCAGTTATTTCAGCATACTTAAACTCATTAACCACAGCAATTAAAACCAAAAATCCAGTCAGCAGCCAGCTGCCTTGTTAAGAGCTGCCTCTGAGCACTTAACAACAAAAACCTTGAAGAATTAGATACTCCAGGATCAGATTGTGTCACACCAAGCAAATTAACGAGACTTAAGACAAGCCTCGGAACAATAAACAACATTCATTCCAACTTGCAGAATTTTCTGAGAAAATGGTCGTTCAAAACAAAAGACAATTGTGTGAGGTGGAAATTATAACTGCTCGACTGCTCATGAGGATGCAGAAAAGGTATAAAAGACATTTGTGACCTCTTCTTTTTATATTAGCTTTACAGATGCAATGGTGCTTTTCCTCAAAATTCTGGCTATTAAGGCATGACATACATTCCTCTGGTCAAGACACATACATTGTGTGACATACATTCATTCCTTTTTTGCACTGGGATCACATGGTCCTGGTCTCCTGACCCACAGCTTAGCGAGCAACTAGATCATAGCAAATTTGTTCCAGTGCAGCTACAATTACGCTATTCAGTCATAAGAAAAAGGTATATCGATGGCTCTTGTATGTTCGTGTTGACATCTGACCTGGTGGATTTCAGTGCATTTTGTGCACATAATCGTTTAGAGTTGGTAGAGCTAAGTAAAAACTGAATCCGCCATTTATGTTATTTGTTCAGAATAGTAGTAACGATGGATTTCACACAACAAAAGTCCTCATCAGCACAAGTAAAATGGATCAGAAAGGATTTGGGGGTCCTAATGGAATGTGATGTCACCAGAGTTGAAGATAAAAGCAACTAATTGCTCGGCTTTGGTACTGAATGGCGACGTGGTTAGAGCTTAATGCATTGTGACAGGAAGGAAACCCATGTAGACTCCTTTACTAAAATATTCCAGGCTCATGGTCGATCCCACGTGGACCGAATAAAAAGCTGCCTTTTACACATTTTCACTTGAGGGGAAAGATATTTGGACAAAGCGACACGCTCAAGTCATAGGCTCTGGATAGGCAAATTTGCATTAACTGTGAAGCTAACTGTTTTCTCTCAGCCCTGTTTGTAAATGCACTCATTGTCCTCCTGGGTTTGAAAATCCAGTTAGCCATCACATGAGCCCAACATGTCACTGATTATCCTCAAGAGTTGAGGGAGTCATAAGACATGTTTTAAAGCTGTTTTTCTGTGTTTTTCCCCCAAAGGAAAGTCTGACTAAAAAAGAGACCAAATAAAATATTACATAAAATTGTGGAATCAGAATAAAAGTAGCGTCTATGTTAAAACTAACAACATATAAAATCTTTTTTGTAGCGGAAGAGAAGCATTTCCCAGCATGGAAACAGGTAATATAATTATTGTAAACCTTTCAGATTTATTTATACGACAGCAGATCGACCAACAGCTTTAAGTAAATGTTAGCCTTATATAGACAAATTTAAAAACGTAAAAAATAAAACACTACTACAACTGCAGCATTCTATTAACAAATATGATCTTGAGTGTATGATTCTGCAACATAAATATAGACTGTCAACTAATGGTCCATCGACAGAAAATATATCACCATGTTTTATAATGTAATTGTGTGGGAGTTTTCAATCTCCATAGCAGAGTTACATTTTCACATCTTTTATAATATCCGTTTAATTTGATTTATATTTCAGGTACAAAACTAAACTAAATTTCTAACAAGCTTTACAAACTCAGACCTTCACACATAAATGCCTACTTGTGACCCTGCAGCCCGAGATCCTGCGCCTGAGCCTTAAAGCTTTTTGAGGATTCTTGGCCCTCACCTGACCTGAAGCCTGACTTCTACATCACACTGTCATGTGATCTTGCAAACCCAGAGCGAAAATTATAAGATTTGTAAATCACATCTGAACTGATTTTGTTTCCTTTGCAGTATTCACTGATATAGCTAATTCGGTGTACGGGTTCCAAGCACAAAACTCACCAACAAGTATTCAAATCCATCATGGAATTTCTTTTCTAACTACGGAGCAGTGAACTACTAATTCTAGGTAAAAAGTCAGTAGAGGCAACATATTTGCTGGTGAGCAGGGTTGTCTGTAGATAAAACTGCACAGATGGACATATATTCTTCACTGAGTTCATTTATGGCAACAAGATAACGTCATGTGAACATATTTAACTGAATATTCTCTGTGTTGGAAGACCTTAGGGTTTCCAGTAAGAAATACTTTTACCCTCATTTCTAATTAAATGTCATCCATCTAAACAGTATTCAAATAGATATTTCCTTTATTCTATTTCCATTTTACTATACCTTGGATACAAAAATAAATCCTTTTTCATACCATGACCCACTGTAAATGATTAAGTATATGCCTATCGTTTGAATAAAGCAGATAAATCCATGATTAAAGACTATCATAAGTGCATGATCAGAAGAGAGAGAACAATGGACAACGTTATTGCTCCAGTCTGGTCTGTGCAGCCAATGAGTTTATATTTAGCAACATATCCGATCTCATTAAAAGTGTAACGGTATTCAGCTCAGAGCCATGACATTGCCGATTGCTTTACAGAGTAAAACCTCATATAAAAGGCTGTGGATTATATAAAGAATATTAATCTGAACAAATAATGCCCGCTCTAATTTATAGAAACCCATCACACTAAATTCTTTTAATGATGTCAGTGTCAGATACTGTTGAAATATACATCGGGAGTCAGGCTGATTTAGCCATATAATGAACAGTTTTCCTCAGTATTTAAAATATGCATATTAACTGGAACATTTTGATGATGAATATGGATATGGACTATATGTAATTTATAAAGGATTAACTTGCTAAAAATGCTTTATATCACTGTTTATTTTCCATCTTCATCTCTTTTTATGGAGAATCTTATTAAAAGATGTTTATGTTTACTACTACCTTTATCTTAAACTATTTAAATAAAGTATTTTTACTTTGTCTTCTTCAAAATTACACCACTGTTGCTTTTATGAATCTACAAAAGCAACACAAACTGAGTTAGTAGTGTGTGAGCTCAAATCCAAGCATACACTGTGTGATGGATTGGGAGCAGAAGCATGTGTGTATGTAAAATAAAACTGCATCTTTCTCGCTTTCAAGGACATGTCAACAGGAGTGTGTTAATCACATGAAAGCAGACTTTAGAAAGATATCAAAGTCCTTAATCTGTCATGGCCGTGGTCATCCATACTGGGCCATTATGAAGGATTAAACTGCAGTGCTGGAGTGAGCGGCTCTTGAAGCCTGCTCAGCTTCAAACACCACTTAGCAGTAAGTTTGCAGGGCTCGGAGTGCAGACCATGTGCACACCACATATACAACCAGCAGTCCTGAATGGTGCATGCCAATATGCCGGACAAAGGGCTCTGAAATGATTGGTTAGGAACTAATGTAGACTCTGTCCAGCTCAAAGTAATGGTTCCATGCGACATGCCCTGCAACACAAGTCATTCTCAGAGCAATAATATAGTTTCTGGATTCAAAAAGTAAAGAAAAACTAAACAATAAAAAAATAAGATAAAGTGCAGTTGATATTTTTTTTAGAACACTGAACATTTGCTTTTAAAATAAATGCCATACATATATTTCAAGTGAAACATCAAAACATCATAGCACAGTTTTTTCCAAGACAAGTAAAACCACTCCAGGTTAGAGCCAACTCAGTAAGGTAATACAGATTCACCTGTTGAATGCGAAAGAGCAGGCTTCATCTTACCTTCTGGGAGCCAGATGTGGAGCGTTTCAAGGAGGCCCGTTTAAAGGTGCCACTCTGGCCCTTGTTGTCCATGTTGAAGACTTAAAATTTAAGTCAAACTGACTTAAGAAAGTGATCCTCAAAGACTGGTGACAAATCAGGGTTCAGCAGCAACATTAACACTAGAACAGAAACCTTCGATACCCACTACAGAACCACAGCATCGCAGCAACCTCTGGATTCACACTTTAAAAAAAATTATCAAAGTTTCACATCATTAAAGGTTTCAGTGCTTCTCTCTCCTCTCTGCAGCTTACTCCAACTGACAAGACAGAGATCCCAGCCAGGGATATAAATCACTCGATGACACACTTGACACATAGACCCTTTTCCTCTGCCGGGCATCCCTTAATCAGGCTTAATGCAGCCGGCTCTTATGGAGCCTCAGAGTCTAATGGATAGAGATTTAATAAATGGTTATTGAAGGTAAATCTACTTTGGCACACCACAACCCCAAAAAAGGCTTAGAGAAACCATGCAAGCTGTGAGGCTAAAGTTAGCCGGCTGAAAGCCAAAGGTTGTCCCACCAGATGAGGCTCAGTGTGTCTGACAGGAAAGACAGGAGTGTTACATCAGGGTGCAAACAGAAAGGTATGCACACATACTGCACACCTTCTACCTACCATGATGTTAAAGTTATTCAGAATGAACTCTGATCTGTGTTATGAAGGAAAATGCTCCATTGGCTATTCTAATTTTGTTAGAATATAGAAGAATATAATGCACGGTGTATTTAATCTCTCATTTCCATTTGATGAGAACATTTTAAATGTACTTTTATTCCACATAAAGTAGTCTCACAACACAGATTTAGAGCAGTTTGTTAAGTATTGTTAAGAGTTTGACCTATTGTATAATACCAACAAAAATTATGGAAACTAAAACTATTAAGGCTTAATACCACATTGCATTTGGCCCTCCCTGACCAATAAGAGCAAATATTTAACAGCTTGGAATATTTTTAAAAAAATGAAACATTAGCAGCAATTAATTTACTATTACTTTAATGCTGAATGCCAGACCAACTGAAACCTGTTATGCAATGTCATTATAACTCATAATTTCTACTGAATGTTTAGCTGAACAGAGAATAGGATGTTTTAGTGCCTCAACTTATAAACATAAGAATCTAAACTATCTGCTGCCTTTTAGCAGAGCTATTACAGGATGTTGCTTTTATTTTCTTCGAATCACATGAAAACACATCTGAGCCTCAGATAGAAAAAGATTCAAGTTTCAGTCCAGTTTAGACAGGCAAATTAGATATTCAGCAACTCCCTCTACTGGATACTAAGTGGAACTGTTATAAGGTGGAAAGGTAAGTGATGTAATTGCATTTGATCCTCGCAAACCAACCATTTTTAAGGCAACAAGTTCCCTAGAACGATACTCAAACATACCATGGAAACATATAGTGGAAAATACACAGCAGCAGGAAGCATGATTATAGTCTATAGCAGCCTTTTCAACATATATTTGCTTTACAATAAAATAAACTGACACAACCCCTTAAACATAACCCCTTACATCCAGTTTCCCCTTTCATTTACCCTTAAGGTTAGAGAAAATGGAATTTTATTCCACAGTATATCAATTTATTCCAGCCCTTAATTAAAGCCACAGCACATGATGATAGACTTAAAGTAAGTAAGATAATCAGATTTAAGACTCACATTTAAAGCTATGTCTTTTGCCTAATTTTATATTTTCCCCAAATTCAGTGTGTTTCATATTTTTTATAATCTTTTGGATAATCCATGAAATTTGAGAATAGTTCTGTGGATGTGAACAAAGGTTGGCTGCAAAGGGTGAGTCTTTAATGAATGACCCTCCAGTGGGACAGTGGGGTTTATGAGGATAAACAAAATCCTCCTGTACTGAAATGGAAGCTCACAGAAACACACTGAAACAAATGAAACTGCAGCAGAACCACAAGTTCAGCAAAGAGATAACGATTCTACTAATCCACAGTATGAAATCACCACGTATCTACGATGCTGTTCTTAACTGATCAACCTACAGCCTTACCTGCTTTGATCAGGGAAGAAAGTTGGAGTTGATTTCCGCTGGTTTTTATCTCAACCTTGGCAGAGAGTGATAAAATAGGTCCATGAATGAATGACTTTTTTTTCATACTCCTACTCTATTCTAGCCATGTGTCTCTCGGTGTTGCCTGCCTCTAAGAATGGATAATGCGTAATTTGTCCTAGTAAGCAGACACAAATGAGCTTTATCATCTGTTAGTGGCTTTGCATGTATCAGTGGAGGAGATTATTTGTCTTCAGAAGGAGCGCTGAATGGAGCAGAAGCAAGCAAGCAAAACATGACTGGGAAATATAGGACGATGTGCAAAGATCAAAAACAGATAAACTATCAATGAAAATGAAGCTGAAGACAGGCAGATAGAACTGAACATCTGAATTAAGCTGAGCAGAAATCAACAAGTGCTGAATTGATTTTTTTAGATAGAAATGTAGCCTCTTTGATTTAGATGTTCCAGACATAGATACACAGAGAACATACTCCTTTTCTAATTTTAAGTGGAATAACAAAAAACAGAATAACTAAATGACAACAATAAAACTTAAAAGTGTGTGTAATATTTTGTTTTTTACTGTCTTTTGTTGTTTTTATTGTTTTCTTGTGTAGTTTTATCAGTTTTAGTGGTCTGTTGGCTTTATTGTTGAATGTATGAACAGTGGCTTTCGTAATATAATTTTAATAGCCTATATAATGATTGTAAAGAACCTTCTAAGTATGTCTGGAGAGGAATTTTCTGTAATGCAGTGTTACAAATGAAAAGAAAATGTAGCAGTATATCATATCTTATCTTGATTTAATGAGCCACACTGTACTTTTTAAGAACATTACATTGCTGCAAATGTGGTTGGTAGTTTGGATTTTTTATTATGTTGGTTTTATACAGCTGACTCGGGCCGATTTGTTTACAAATTTAGCAATTTGAGAGCAGGAGATACTGGAGCTCACAAAAATAGGATAATATGAAGTCAAAATAATCTCTTCTTCCAAATCTAACAACAGAAAAGGTGATTGCCTTGCAGTCAGTAGTCAGAAGATAGATCTCCGTAGTGTCTAAATTATCCAGTATAAAGTCAAGTCAAAATTGATGTAACAGCTTTATGTATGTTAAAAGAACAATGTGTGGGATTTAGTGGGATTAACGGTGAAGTTGCAGATTGCAACTAACTGAACACCGCTGGCGTCTGTATTTGACGACCTGGCAATAAGAACGTGCTGTGAAGTGTGTAGGAGAAACTACAGTGGCCACGAAAAAATAAAAAAATAGAGCTAGTGTTTGGTTTGTCCATTCTGGGCTACTGTGGAAACATGGCAGTTCAACATGGCAGACTACATATAAGGCGACCCGCACTGCCTGTAGATAAAGATGGCTAATTTTAAGGTAATGAAAACGCAAAGATTCTTATATTCAGGTGATTATAGAGTAATTGAAACATACCATACCATCAATATTAATTCCATTTTTGAAAATAGATCCTCGTAAATGTTACACACTGGACCTCTAAATACAATCTCTGCTAGGATTATTCTAACAGCAGTAGTACACAATGTTCTACAAGCTGACTACTTGAAACAAATCTCTGTGGGAACAGGTGTCATTCGAGTAGGACGTTTCATATTTCAACCACAAGAGGGTGCTCTGACATCTTGTATGGCCACAGACTTTATCACACATCTCTAACCAGTGGTTATAAGACACACTCTGTGCTCTAATTCTATCAGGTTGTCTCAGAGGTTATCTGTATGTCATTTCCATCAGTACAGCCAGAACCACAAGTGTATACTCAACACAAACAGAGATGGTGCTCTGGTTTACTTTACTCTACATTTTTATTTGGGACTCCTGCTTTGCATCAAGCTCAATTTACTCTGAGTTGGTTTTACCTGATAATTTGTAAATGTCTGGTGTGACTAATGTCATCACTTAAGCCAGATGGGATAAAGCCAACAGCTGGAAAGCAGGTTAGGGTGAAATGACTTTCACAGGTGATACTGTGGAAGGGGACACCGTTCAAGGAAGTGTTTCACTTTGTGCACGTCTACTGTTCTGTGGAAGCCCTTCTTTGTTCCTGTAAAGTTGTTAGAGGCACCACCCCTGGCAAGGAAACCCAAACATTTAAATGTGCGGAACACGAGTACTGAAGAAACCTGCGGGTGAAAAACAGCAAAGAAAAGCATCTATGTCTGCTTTTGTTTGTGTGTGTGCTGGTTTTTATCAAGGTGATCAGCAGTGACCGACGCAAAACAATAAAAGTTGTGTGTTTTTGACTCTGCCAGTGTTTCTCTTGGTTGCTAAGGAAATGAGACAACACCCTCACCTGAGACCTTGGTGCTCCAGGTGTGTTAAGTCCCTCAGTACCGCAGAGTGCAAACACACTCAGCTGATAATAACACGCACACAGTTGGACAAATAGATTAAAAACACTACATTACACGTGTAGAGGGCGATAACATAACACAAAGATTATGTGTGAGTGCTGACATTTCGTCTCTCTCTGCAGACCAAACACACTGCCTGAACTTAAGGGCAGGAAATGGTCTTTAGTGGTTTGTTATGAGTGGTTCATGTTAGGACATGTTCCCTCTGCATGTCCATGGAAGCACCCCGAGCTTCCCACAAAATAACCACTTATTAGGCATGACACATTAAAGACTTGATTTGTATGTCATAAATCCAATAAAAAGATATATTAAAGAGGTGTGGAACCGAGTCATGGATATCAATCAAAAACAGCTTTGTATTATAAGCTGCTGATATAAGCCACCATTAGGCTGTGATTGTTGAGAACATATATATATATATATATATATATATATATATATATATATATATATATATATATATATATATATATATAAAGAATGTATGCTTTATTTTTGAAGACATTCAACTAGAAATCATTCTCTACTTTTTACACGTTTATTTTCTTGGTATACTGTCTATAAATTATCCATATTTCTGCATGCTCAGGTCTTACAAAGGTCTTAAACAGTATCTGTATTTCTTACGTTTGATTGAATGTAACTTCTCAGATTATTTCTTTACATCTTTTTTAAATATTTTTTCTTAATTGTTCGACCCTCTGTGTTTGTGTGTGCACCTTTTTACCTATGTTATGTTCCAGGGTGCCTCTAGGTGGAGTGTAGGCCAGGGTCATCAGAGGAGATACAGCCTGGCTCACCTTTAGAGGTCTGCAGAGTATGGTCTGCCAGCTACAACAGTGAAATGTTACTTACACACTGATACACCACAATCTAATAACGTCATATTAAATAATTATATATCAACCACAGAAGCCATTTTCTGCAATAGAAGTGCATTGTGCTGATAACATTTTGCTTTTTGAATGCAAGATAACGACAGGTGGAGATAGACAGGAAGGGGGGGGGGTTGACCTGCAGCAAAGGGCCACAGGCTGGATTAGGACTCAGCCTGACTCAGCAGGTACTTGGGACGCACCTCCTACCAGGTGAGCAACACAGACTTTTACTTGTTATGGAATATTTTTATATTTTTTGTACTGATACTTTACTATTTAAGTAAATGATTGGAACCAACCACCGCTGCATATTGTTTTCTTTTACACAGTACATAATACATACCTTCTCGCTCTTTATACTGCATATAACATAAACAGACTCTATTACTATTTCAAGTCTGTCTAAACAGTAGATATCATAGTTATACTGTTATACTATACTGATCCGATGATACCCAGACCCTTTCACCACCCCATTGGTTGGATTCCAACCTGCATTTGAATAAAATTAAATACAATTGTATAATCCTGTAGTGAATGTATATGACAGTATTAAAATGGTATACACTATCTAACCTGCAGTAGCTACTGAAGAGCTTACAGCTGATTCTAGGAACAAGAGAGCAGGAAACTCTTGCTGAGCTCTTAACTCTTCTTAGGGTAAAAAATGACATGTGTTCTTCTTGTCAAAATAATAATTGTGTTCTTCAAACCTGTTTTAATGAGCAGGTAATGTAAATTGTGTGTGTGTGTGTGTGTGTGTGTGTGTGTGTGTGTGTGTGTGTGTGTGTGTGTGTGTGGGTGTGTGTGCGTGTGTGTGTGCATGTGTGTGTAAATGATATGAAAGGAAGAAGCCCCCCTGTAGGGGCTGGAGTCTCAGTGGAGTTCACCAATGTCAGGAAGAGGATGTTTACAGAATAAGAAGAGCCAGAATGTGGTGATGGGTAAAATTGCATAAGCAGTGCTGTTGAGCCATAGGTCTTCCTGAAGGTTACGGTAACACCGATGACAAGATTTGTTTATATGTTTATAGGAGTGGGCACTCTGTACTCTGCTGTCAGCATAAAATTGATTTTAAGGAAGTAGACAGGAAGAAGGTGTGGCAGACTACAGGCGTGCTTGTGGCTAACAAGTTGACTGGTGAACACCAGGGCAAGCTTTTTTGCTGGAGGTCTGGCTCATTGCACACCAGCAGAGCAAAACTGTTCCTGGAATAAAAAAAAACGCATTCCATGAATATCCTGCTTGCTGCAGCTAAACGACCGGCCAGTGTACATAATCTATTCTGCTCCACAGTGAGTACATGTTGGCATAAGTCATTTCCAAGATTGACCTGGGGCCCACACAAAGGTTAACAGAGAATCCATATGCTGCAGTGGGGCTGTAAAACAGCAGCTCTCTTGACGTGCAGGAAGTTACTCCATTTCACAATATTTCATTGTGAACTGAACGGTGGCTCCTTGCTTGATCAGAGGAGTTTCATAAGCTTCTGTGTTTGTGATTGCAGTGTCTGTCGGGGGGGGGGCACATAAGCATTTCCCATGTAGCTGTGAAGCTGAGCTTTCTCACTGGAGAGGGGGGGTTGAGTCCTGCGCTCAGCTGCGTAAACTTCCAGAATCAACTTATCGTCCAACAACCAAACAACCAGATGTAGGACTCACACTCAAAGGCCCTACTTGCCGCCACACTTTTCCTGACCTTTTAAGGGACTGTCTTGAATTAGATCAAAGATAGATTTGAGTTGCCCTCCAGTAACCGTCCAGAGATTTGAGACGGGAACAGACAACTAGACAGACAAAAAGTACAAGAACTGCTGATCAACACTTTCGCACCAGGAACTGAAGCTACGTGATACAGTTGTCTTTGGGTCAGACAGTCTAATAGATGTAAATGAATGTCAGATTCGGACGTAAACAAGCAAAATCAATAGTCATTGATCTGCTTGTTTGATTACCTCTGCAGCCAAAGAGCTGCTGTGAGCGGGATTACTGAACATTACGAGCCAAAAGCAGTCAATACTTGCTTCATCTGAGCCACAGGCTGCTGTTAATGCCATGCAAGCTCTGTATAATCCAGATAGATGTTTGTATGACTGGGTCATACATAAAACATAGCATTTGAGAAAGCCATGAACTCTGACTGGTCTGTTCCAGTCTCAGCTGACTGAAACATCAAGATCCAGACGTTTATATGCTAAATACTTCACCGCAACACATGGATGTGGGTTATGTGGGAAGAATCAGTATAATAGTATACAGCATAATAATTACCAATCCGGATTATTATTATTGTTATTAAATAAACTGTATCTGTAGTTAATAAAGCTTTTTTGATGTGTCTAAACCAAAAGCTGTAGATAACATTCATTCCATGGACACAAATTAATGTGGTTTAAAGCTGTAGTTGAACACTCATAAGAAGAAGAATTAAGTCTTAAGCTCTATAAGCAATGCCATATGTATTACAGCCCACAATACAAAAGAGTTGGAGGAAATGAACATCACACTATCAGTTTAGTTCTTCTCTGGGCCTTACTAATGATTAGACAAAACATTTACATTTTATTTAAATTTATAAACCAGTTGCATAGATACCCTGTGCAGACTATGCACTCATTGTTCAACACTTGAAATTGGTCTCATTAACCTAGTAAATAATTACAATTATATATTGACAACTCGAACTCAAGATGTTGCACTTTGATTCTCTTGAAGGACATGCGCAAATTGTGCGAATACATCACAAGAAATTTCAAAACTATGAGCACCAAATGTAAATAAATTGTAAAACTAATCATAGTGTTTATGTGTCTGTGACAAGACAAAGCTCTACAACTGTCACATGGAAAAGAAACACCTGTTTGTAAAAGAAAATTGCATTGTCCGTGTATTTGAGCAGAAGAAAAGAGTCAGTGAGGTTCTCATCTCCTCAGTGATTGTCCAGGGTGTGTTACAGACCATAAAAGCCCAAGTAGACAAGCACCCGTCTAATCCTGCTGATCATAGCAGCATTGTCATTATCTATGGGCTCTTGCCTGTGACTGTAATTACAACTGCTGTGGATGATCTGAAACACAGATGGTGATGGGAGACTAAGCAAACAGCAGCAAGGTAATCGGTTGGGGCTGCGGGAGCAGACAAATCTTTAAAGACCTGAGCTGAGAGAAGCTAAATACTTAAATCATTGAATTTAGTTAGGAGTAGCCAGTCTGTAGGCATTTTACTGTAGCTTCTTCATTCTAGATACGTACTGTTAAGAAAACCTCTTTATTTATAAATGTGAATGTGGATGTGAATGTGAAATGAAATGACCTGAAATGAAATTCAAGGATGTGAAATGCAGTTAATTTAAATAAGGCCAATGACTATTGAGTCACTGAATCACATCAAGTCGTGTCCTCTTGGTGTTCATTAACCTTTTAAACCTCACTCAGCCATCATTCAAGCACATGTTTCACATTCAGGCAGCATTCAAAAGCCAAGGAATTTTATCAGGATCCAAAGTTATTCTGGGTTTTGAATACAAGCAACATTCTTCTAACTCCCTTCTTAAAGCTGCAATCCAAGAAGTTTCACCGGAGCTTTTTCGTCTGTATGTATCTGTTGAGGTTTTGTCATCTGCGCAAATCAAATCGTTTCCCTTAAAAACAAACTGTTTCCTCACACTCACAGGAAGTAGGGTTGCTGACGTAGCCTAGTACCAAAACTCCCTGCAGCAGAGCATGTACTGTACCTTGAGTCTGCACGAAGCACCCAAAACTTCATAAAAGGGATCATAAAAGAGATTTATGATCAGTCACACCAAATCAGCAGTTCCCTGTTTTTTTTTTTTTTTTGTGGGTTAAATGAAGCTCAGGACACAAGCAGTTATTTAAGTCTTTCAGCTCTGTTGATTTTTGACCTTGGAAATAGCAGAGCCAAAACAATCTTGACTCAGGGTTGATTTACTTTCCCCTTATCGCATGCTCTTCATCAGCAGATTGAGTTTGTTTTTATGCATGTGGTGAAGAATGAACTGTCAACTTCTAAGCCAACATGGAAAACTATTACGCCAAGTTCTAACATCTACATTTTGATGGCAACTAACTCGCTTTACTGATGAGGACCGTGTGATACAGTCAAAAGCTCCAGAAAAAGCAAGCAAGTGGATCCTGAGCTGCAAGTGTTTATTTCAACTTTCTTTTTTTTTTTCCTTTACAGAGATTTTGCAACGCTACGACTTCACACATGGACATAATCTTAGTGATTCCACAGGATGTTTTGTTTGGCGTCTGACAACATGCATCATCCAGGGTTGGACACCTCAACTCTTGTACTTGTGGATGCAGGTGTGGCGGAGCTATGCACTCACTCTGTGGAAAGGATGAAATAGGAAAGTGTCAGGTTTAACACAAGCACCACCCATATCACTGGGTGCACATACTGAGTGAGACACAGTCAGTCAGGGTTGTTTTTTTGTTTTGTTTTTAGCCTAACATATAAAGATTAACAGTACAGCACAGGCATTGCACGAGCACACGTTTCCTCCAGTGTGCTTTTGGGGCCGCCTGAGTTGTTTTACTGTTGCTGACCTACATACAACATTGCCATGTCAGCCCTCAAAATCAGCCTACCCATAGATCCTCCAGACAGGAGACTCCCAGAGAACATAGCAACAGAAACTCTCCTCCCACCTCTCTCCCCTCCCTCTCTCCCTCTGGAGCTATGCAGGCCAGGCTCTGTAGCTCTAGCCTCACTTGGCTCCCGGATTGGGGGAAGGGACTGAGTTAACATATGGCTTATTGTGCATTGTAGGCTATGCTTTCAGCTCATCAACAACATTGGCTCTCTTCCTGGTGCAAAACTGTGTGTGACTGTCGGGCTGGGAAAAAAAGGCACTGCAGACATATTTTGCAGTGTTTGTTTTCTGGAAGACTGACTCATATTCTGTTTATGCATGAATGAAATAAATCGCCCTTTGAGTTTGACACCAACCCCCCCCCAAAATGCGCACCGGCTGAGTTATTGTCATCGAGACTCGAGCTCTCACCACCTTAATAACAACGTGTGTAACACTTGCAAGTGGCAATCAGATTGGCTGTAACAGCCGCAGACAGCTGGTGGAGAATGATGACTACCTGTTTTATAACCGTGTTTGCTTTGGAGGAAAATGTGTTGCTGGCACAGTTTGTGGCTCCGTTGCGTGTCTCGCAGAGCGGTCCGCCACAGTTCGGTGACGCAAGGGGAGCTATTAATATCTCAGGAACGGGATGTTCTCGCTTCAGCATTGGGGTCATTCGAGGATAAACAACTTGCGTCCAGTGGAGACGTTGTCGTTACGGCGAGCGCGACGAAAAAACGACGCACGCCGGCAAGTTTTGAGGGAGACGCAGAAACTTCACTTTTCATTTCATGCCCCCCAACCTCACCACACACACACACACACACACACACACCACCATTACAGCAAGAACCGGTCGCATCTCCGCGGTCAGCCTGGTTCATGCACCCAGCTCCAGTCAGTGTGGAGCCTCGCCCACTTGTGAACTCGGTGACTTTACAGCGCACAGAAAAAGTCATGTGATGTAACAGTGTGCCTCTTTTGGAGAGATCGTATGTTTTGAAATTCAACCAAGCTATTTTGCCTTTTGAACTCGCTCCGTCCGCACCACATGCAATTTAAATGGGCGGCGTATAGCCTGCGATCTGCTCCTGTCCAAATTACAGGCCGATCATAACGCGTCTTAATCGTGCGCAACCGGGAGCACGTTTTGTTAATGCCATCAACATCGAAGTCTGCCAAAGTTAGAGAAAAGATGGGGGTCAAACACTAAGAAATGCACAAGTCTGGTGGGGGTGGGGGGATTAACTTGTACATGTGGAGTGATAACAAAGCAGACACAAAAAGTCATGGGCGCGCACGTTTATTTATGTCAGCGAGTGGTCTAATTGGTAGTCTGGCTGTAAGAGCAGACAGACTCATATTAAAGCGCGTTCAGGATACCCAGACCAAGTAGTTTTTGAGGAACTGAAGTTGCTTTCGATTCTGTCTATCTCAAGAAAGTCATTTCCACATTGCTACAGAATTTATTCTGTGATGACAACAGCAAAGAGAGGCGGTATAGATAGATTCACATCTATCTGTGAACATAAGCAGCGTTATTATGATGCTAAATATAAAACAATCAATCCTTTAATCAATGAATTGATCAACACATCAAATCAACTGTATTGTTTGAGTCATTTTTCAAGCAAATAAAACAGTTGATGATGATTTCTGTGTCTCCAGTGTGAAAATTTTCTGCTTTTCTCTTTTATTTGTACGTTGAATATTTTTAGGTTTTGAACAGTTGGTCAGATAAAACAAGCGATTTGAAGATTTGGGCTCTGGGAAATTATAATGGGGGATTCAATACTATTTTATGGCATTTTATTGACTAGATGATTAAACGTCGAAGTAATTTGAAGCCCTAAGGTTTTTCATCAAGTTAATATAGTGTGTTTATGATCACAATGTCTCAGTGTATTTTTAGCGTATTGAGCATGGTGTAGCTTTATTCCTCATTGGATGACCTGCCATATAAGTGCCTCAGTTGAATGGCCTTAGAAAGAAGACCCTCATCTCTTCAGCATCAGCACGGCGAGTTAATGCAGCGCCCGCGGACTCACCACCAAGCTGAATGGTGTATTTCATAGTCAGGTCCCTTTACCAGTGCCCGCGAGGCACCTCCCTCCCAGGCCACTGCACTGATCAATGCATTCTGAATGGGGCCACTACTGACCAGCAAATGGGTGCGAAAACAAAACTGTGTCCGCTTCACTTTGCTCTTTTGAGCTGTATTGTGTGGCACGGACAAAGCCGCCATGCTGTGATGTGAAGGAACAATGATAGAAGTACATAGTCGTGGCTCAGCGTCAGCCTTGGGTCAAGTGAGTGACGTCAGTTTCTGCTTGCGATTATGAACTCAACTCCACATGCATGACGGTCGTCACTTTCACGTCATAGGATAGGAGCAGTTGTCTTGAGAATGCTCTTCTATCGAATTATGCAACAGACAATTCAAAATGTTCTTTCAATGAGTGTTGGGCAGCGGTCTGCTCTGTGGTGGTGTGCCGGGTAGGCAGCACCAAGGCGGGGGAGGCAGGCCATATTAACATACTGGTGAAAAAGGCTGCCTCTGTTGTGTGGCTGAACATGGACAGCCTGGAGGCACAGGCGCAGGGAGGATGACGACCAAACTGAATTCCATCTTAAACAACACCTCCCACCCTTCTGTGAACTGATGCAGCGACCCCCCCCCCGCCTACCACCCATTTCAGCCTCCACCTCCTTCCTGTAAGGTGCCTCACGGAGCACCCTGAGTGCTCTTTTTGTGCAATCAGACTTTACAATGCTTCCTTGTCTTCCTTCCAGTCTCATCTTAGTTCTTGCTGAAGGACACCTGCATGACACAATCTATTTAAACCGCCTTCGACTGCTTTTGTAGGTTAATGTTATCTTAACTGCACATATCTATGCAGGTCACTGTAGGATTTGTCTTCATATATGGCTCCTCCACATGAACAGGTTGTACAGGTATGCACATACATGACTGTGCCAGCGGTTCTGACAAGGCTTTTAAAGAGCGTCTGTGTGCTGCACATATGATCATTTTCACATTTTACATTCATAGCTGCCGAAGGCAATAGAGGATTTAGGTATAGTTACTTAAAGGAACATTTTGGGAAATACACTTGTTCGCTTTCTTGCCAAGAGTTAGATGAGAAAATCAATGCCACCCTCATATTCAGCTGTAAAATATGCATAGATTAGCTTTAGCATAAAGATTTCAAGCAAGCTAACCTAGCTCCGTCCAAAGGTAACAAAATCCACCTACCAGCTCCTCTAAAGCTCACTGTATCAAAGCTGTTTGTTTAATCTATGTATATGTGGCAATGTGGTTTTACTGGAAGTCATGTGGCTGACTATTTCTCGAAATCCTGGTGTCCTGGATAAGACACTGTCCTAGACATAACCCCATGTAAAATCACACGTGTATTATACAGGTTTTGTACAGGTTAAACAAACAAGCTAAGTATATGTGTACCTGTTACTTGTGGACTGAGACAGGCTGGCTGTTTCCCACTATTTCCAGTATTTATGCTAAGCTAAGATAACTGGTTGCTGACTGTAGCCTTACCTTTGCCATGCAGACATAAGAACTGTATTGATCTTCCCATCTCACTCACAGCACACGAGGCCATAAAGTATTGCCTAAAATGTCCACTTGTCCACTCAACATATCGCTGATGGACTTCACAAAATCAAAAACTCAATGATAAGCAAACGGCACCTTTTTGGAAAGTAGTAATATAACTAAAATGGGAAAGTTCATATCCAAGGCATCATATGGTCCATCTTTTCTATGAGAGATGCTATCACTTACCTAAACAAGAACACCCTGTCCTTTTTGAGATAAAACCAAATATCAAACAACCAAATAATTTAACAAATTGTGACTGAATAAAATCAGGTGATTTTTGAGAATAGCATGGGACAGGAGCAGGAACATTTGATCTTATCTATGTGCCAGGTAATTGGCTTTCACAGTTTCACTTTGTTCAATCTCATGTTTGCACCCTGTGTCTGTGGGGATAAGGACCCAATAACACGGTAACAAGTATTAACAAGTATATCCTGCTAGACAGCAGCCAGGTCACACTTTGTTACAATAACATGCAGTTTGGACTTGTTTACAGCTACACCTGACTGACTCATTTGACCTCACGTGATAAGCGCATTCATTCCTGCTGTACCTGATCTGGTGTTCTTTTTCCTCTTCATTCAAAGGAACAATATTTCACCTGTGGCCTAGTGAATCATCAACATGTGCTATTCACTTTGTTGCAGAGAAACTCAGAAGGTGTATGGGTGTTCGCTGTTTACTCTTGGTCTTTACGTCTTCTGTTGAACTAATCCTCTTTTCTTATACACAGGTGAAATCGCAGCCTGTTTTGTCATCATTAGTCATGGGGCCCAAATGTTGTGTCACTAAGGATGAGTAAGCTTTGTAGGACAACAACAAAGAATGATTACTCATAAGTAATGGCTGTATTCTGTATCAGTTCTTACCACTCAAATAACTTGGGCTTATTTTAATCAGCGAATTGGTGTCTCTGATTTGTATTATTATCCTATAATTAAATTACAGATAATACACAAGACATTTCCAGAAAGACTGGATCTGCACTATAGTGTATAGTGTCATTTTGAAGTTTGTTGGACTGCCCTTGCAACTTCAGCACAAAAGGAAACCCACAAGGAAGCTGTTAGTCAATAAATGATCTGGGTTTATGAGTTGAGTTGCATTTAGTATGACTTTTAGCCATACTAACAGTGATTCCTTAACTTTGAACCTTTAAACTTTTAATCTAGAGCCATTGATAGCGCTAATTCATAACAGAAGTTATCTCAGGACACTTTTCAAATAGAGCAGGTCTAGACTGTACTCCTTATAAAATTATTTACAGACTCCCAACACTTCCCACCATGAGCAAGCACTCGGCGACAGCAGCAAGGAAAAACTTCCTTTTAAGAGGCAGAAACCTCGGACAGACCCCGGCTCTAGGTGGGTGGCCGTCTGCCTCGACCAGTTGGGGTGAGAGAGAGAGAGAGAGAGAGAGAGAGAGAGAGAGAGAGAGAGAGATAAAGACAGAAGGACAGAGACAGACACAAAGGTGCACATCAACAACAGAAGCAACAACTACGCTAATAGTAGTGACTGATGATGATGATGATGATGAACATGAAGAAGATGATGACGACAACGACAACAACAGCCACAACGATGGGGGACGATGAGCAATGATGATAGTAATAATAGTAACTGTAGTAATAATGATAATGATAATAACAATAATATAAATAATATTAGCAGTGGGAGTCAAGCAGGACCGTGGCAGGAGGTCCTTTTTTTGTCCAATACTCCAAATACCTGCAAAACTAATGACACTAAATAGCACGCTACCACGAACATGGTAAGCATTATATCAGCTAATCATCATCATGTTAGCATTGTCACAGTGAGTGTGTTAGTATGCTGATAGCATTTAGCTCAAAGCACCACTGTGCCTTAGTAAAGCCTCACAGAGCTGCTAGCATGGCTGCAGTCTTGTTAAAATACGGACTAAATGTTTTAGTCATAGCAACTTGAAAAATGTGTTCCACATTATGGGAAATACACTTGTCTGCTTTCATTCTTGAAGATGAGAAGAAAGAAAAGTGTATTTCCCAAATGTACTAAAATGTGGAACTCATTTTTCAATACCGCTTTCATTTGCGTGGTAAATATGACGCCACAACCAGCAGGCGCTTAGCTTAGCTAAAAGGCTCGAAACGGGGGGGGGCACAGTCAGCCTGGCTCTGTCCAAAAGCCCCCCAGCACCCCTGAAGGATCACTCGTTAACATGTTATATTTCATTTCAACAAATACTAGCAAAATTAAGCCTGCTCACATGCTAACATGCTGAAGGTGTTGGCGATGAACATTATACCTGTTCAAATCAACATGTTAGCATTGTCATTGTGAGCGGTTGCATGCTGATGTCAGCATTAGCTCAAAGCCTCACAGAACTGCTAGCATGGCTGTAGTTTTGTTCGAATATAGACTAAATGTTTTTTGTTTGTTTGTTTGTTTTTTAAACATTTGCATAACTCAAGCAAGGATTTTGTTTTGAATAGGATAGGAAGTGTAGTCCTGTGAGTATTCAGTGAGGTAACATTAATAAAAACAACAATACATTGCTCTTCCTACAGTTGACAACAGCTGGGCGTCTGACTCAACGTTTAACCCAAATGTGGGGATCAAACTAAGGTCAGAAGCCAGAGGTCAGCGCCCTCCACTGAACATCACAGCCTGCTGCAGAGAGGAGAAAACTCTGCCAACAGTCTAAACCCACTTATGCTGTTTCATGCTTTTATAGCTGTTGTTTTTTTTATCTGCCTTGAGAGCCCGGCCTTGACATGACAGCCCAGCCTGATTGTTATAGTGGTCAGGCTGTCCTGTGCTTAAAGAGGATCTCTCCCATTACAAACAGAAGTGAAGAGGCCAATCACACCGCTGCTCCTGCCTGAGAACTTTATGACAGTGCCAGACAGTGTACTGTTTGGACACTGCACGCTGGGGGTTGGTGCAGGGATTTGGGAACGTACAAAAGGTCTCTTGAATCATCACATTGCTGTAGCTACAGAGAGAGAGAGATGTTTCAGTGATTCCCTCTGATTCCCTGAAGATTTTTTTTAATGATCACTTCACCAGCTGCTTATTACCTTTGGAGAGGTTCAGCTGTGTAAGCTGCAGCCGATTTCCTCACTGTCTCTTTTGGCCGTCTTTTGCTTGACACCCAGTGGGAGTTGAAAAACACTTGCAGTTTCTACACAGCTCTGGGAAATAACCCAGTGAAAGAGGAACTATGCCCTCTTGTCGTGCTCTCGTTAGAAAAGATCGCCAAAGCACCACATGAAACACAAGAACACCACGTTTTTGTGGTGAAAGAATATGTAAAATAATACAGCCAGATGGCCTTCTGAATGCCACATCGCCTTGCTCACACTGAACACTGGGAACTTTCTAGTGTGGGCTTTTGTGCACAGTGCTGAAAGTGTGCATTCATTCTCACAGGAGAGCCTCAGCTGCTGCAGGAAAGCAGGTCTAATCCTGTATCGGCAGAGTGCAAGTTTATTCTTCATAAATTTTCTTAAATAGACCTTTAAATTGGGCTTCGAGCTGGATGAGGTGAAAGGCTGCCATGTCGTGGACACTGATCACAGAGAACATTATGTGCAAAGTTACATTTTGTTATGTTCCTAATATGAGACGAAAGAGTCCTGAAAACTTCTTTGATAATAAACGGGGGTCAATTTGAGTGCATTGGTGTTAACAGGGACATTCAAGCGTGTCCTTGATACTAATCAATAGCATCAGCTGGTTTGTTTTCTGTCAGGACTTTGTAGCTAGTGACAAGCTATTTCCACACCCGGCTGGCTTCTGTGTTTGACATTTTTAAATTGAAAACTAATGAAAATTCAATTTTTTATGGAATTCAAGCTGTCTACAAATATGTTCATACGGACCAGTTGCACCATAAAATAAATGATTGTCTAATAATGACAAAACCTTCATATCATACAGCTTTGACTCTTTCCACCCTACAATGGTGTTACTTGTCTCTTGCTGGAGGAATAAATTGAAGAAGACTTTGCCTGTGGTGGCTGGCTGGATTTCAATTGGCAAAGACCACAGAGTTGCTCGGAGGAGGATTTTGAGGTAAATTGCGAGTTCACTGAAAGGAAGCCATCATATTTTTTTTTAAATGTTGATGCTACATTGAGCAAAAATAATGACAAAGTATATCAACTCCTGAATGCCTTTTTTGAATCATCAAGGCCACAGTATAAATATGATGTAACTCTATTTTCTGCATTTATACATTCAAACTAGATGTTTGATTACAAATTAAAAGGTCATACTGTAATACAGTAAAAAGTAGAAGGTTTAATTAACAAGTTAGAAAAGAACAAATGTATTATTTACACCATCCCTATCCCTTCTTTGACTAGAATGTAACTAAAATCCTTAGAGAGCCTGTGAAGAAGAATTATTTTTGCCTGTGTGTAATCTCAGCAGGCTAAGCCAATAATTTGGCAGTTTGAAGCATTTTATCTCTCTGCTGGTGCAGTGCTTTGTTGGCCAGAGGCCCCAGAGTGTACTGATCGCTCCAAGAAGGTGACACAATAATATTCAAAGTATCAGGGACATCTTGTTGATGATGAACTGCAGCCCATTTTTGCAGAATAGACAACTCACTTTCCTCAGAAAAGTTATTGTGTGTCGTGTGCTTTTCTTTATCATTTCCTCATTTGTAATTTGATTATATGCAACAGGGGGAAGTTAATATGGTGCACTGGCTTTTATTGGGATTCATCTCATCAGGTTCTAAAAAAAATGTTGCATACCTCATACATATTTCAACAATGATTCCCCATCAACTAATATCTTTAGAAAGCAAACTTGCATGTATTTTTTACCAGTAGTAGGACTGTATTATTAGTCATTTAAAGGTCCAGTTTGTAACATTTAGGAGGATCTATTGACAGAGATTGAATATAATATTCAATGGTATGTTTTCATTAGTGTATAATCACTTGAATATAGGAAGTTACCTTAGAATGACCTGTTATTGCCTTCAATGGAGTCCACCATAGTAGCACAGTAGTAGTTTTTGGTGGCCACTGTAGTTTCTCCTACACACTTAACAGCCACTTTTCATTCCCAGATTGTCAAATAAAGATGCATTTTAGGAATTTTATATTTAAAACTGTACAGTGAACCCATTAGCTTCTTGTGTTTTCTTGCCCCTGACGCTTGGCCGTTGTTCGATTACACAATTTCTATAACAAATCACTTCAGCATACATTAACTTTTCTTCACAGAAGTGAACAAAATGCTGAGACACAGGCCTACTGTGTATATATCTTTTAAGTCTTCTTACACGTCTTAAAATCAAGAAGGCCTCGCAACCCCCCTATGAAGCTTTGGCGACCCCTTGTGTGGGTCCCGACCCCCAGGTTGGGAACCAGTACTTTGATCAAATAGTGGTTTGCATAAAATTAAGCAGCAGTCATTTTTTCAAGCAGAACTATTCTCTGGCTTCAACTTCTCCAATGTGAGGATTTGTTTTCTCTGTTTTATAACAGTGTGAATTAAATAATACTGTGGTGGACTGGTGGTGATGTTGTAAACCGTTTTCCAGCAGAATAGGGAGTAATAATAGGAAATCCGTCATTAGTTGCAACCCCAAAAGAGTATGCAAAACATTTTAAACAAATGTTACACGCTCTAAACGCCCCCCCCCCCAAAAAAACAGCATTTTATTTCATGTATCCTCTCTAAAAGGGTCTCTGCAGCCCGTAACTATGTCACGCGTGCGATGCATCATCTGAATGCATGGAGGCAACCTGTGGTGAAACTTCCAAGTAGCTCATGTTGTTCAGTGCATTTGGGGACATGCAGTACCCAATGAATGAGCGGCTGCTCTGACGATGCTTGCCGAGTGCTGCCGGTCGACACGCCCCCAGCATGGATACAACCAGCAGGAACAGGCGCTCAGGAGACACACTCACTATGCTGGAGAGTGTTTGTAGCCGCGATGGGAGTTAACACATCCAAGTTTCTGGAGGTCCTGTTTCCAGCGTCGTTGCACTAAATAAAGACACTTGGTTTCTTCTTTTCTTTTTTTTGTTCTCTTTTTCTTTTTTTCTCTCTCTGAGGGGGGCTTGTCTGCGTTTTTCTATCCGAGGCGTTTCTCTCACAGGATGTTGATGATATTGGAAAGCCGGGTAAGATCATAAAGTCAGTTCTCTCTGATGAGAACGACCTCCTCCTCCTCCACCTCCTCCTCACCACCACCACACAAAGGGAACCACGGAACAAGTACTTTTTTCACACGCCATCATTTTCTTTTTTTTCTTTTTTGAATGTCATTAAGAAGCAGAGGGGGCTGTTTCAAAGACAAAATGGATCACTTTGCAGCAGAGTGCCTTGTTTCAATGTCCAGTCGTGCAATTGTTCACGCTCCTAAAGGGAATAGGGAGATTAAACCAGAGATCCCGTCCTCCTCCAAGAACGGGGAGGAAATAAAAGAGCCTTTGGTGAAAGATAACTCCTCTCTTTTTGTGGTGGCGCGGATTCTTGCGGATTTTAACCAGCAGACTCCCAACAATGTTGCCGAGCAGGCAAAAATAAAGGATGAGAGCATGCCGAACCTCATAGAGGATGATGGAAACTCTGCCACACCTACCACCATCTCCGATCCTTCGCTCAAACAAAGAGGCAAAAGATCGCGAGGTCGAACTGAGCAAGAATCACCTCAGAAAAAGCACAAATGCCACTATTCAGGTTGTGAAAAAGTTTATGGCAAATCATCCCACCTCAAAGCCCACCTAAGGACACATACAGGTCAGTTTTCATTGGATGCAAATGTTTGTTGCTGTTAACCGTGACTTACTGTCGTTCCCTTGCCTACATGGGATTGTTAATACTGACAATACTGATGAGAAAAGTGTGGTTTCTCTTACAGTCAACCTGATATTTGTACAGAGGAGGGTGACAGGCTGCTGTTTCATAGAGTCATATGTCTAAATATTCACGGGTCCACCTTTTATAAAAAGAGAAAGCATCTGCGCGCACAGCCCGGTAAAAGCCAAAATTGGTGCATAGTTTTAATAATTGCATTGTTCCTCTTAAGTTGTGTGAACTTTGCGATATGTCCTTTTAATTTCGGGGGAGGGAGTCGAAAATAGTGCCACTCCCACTCAAGTCTCCGAGCTTTGTCACCGCTTTCCTCTTGCAATGCAACCCCCCACCCCACACCCATCCAACCTCCCCCTGCATTGGACAGTGTGTACAAACCGAAACTGCAGTGCAAACGCAGAACTAAATTACACAGATCCAATTTCCAGCGTTCTTCTGTGCGCATTAATTAGAGTCAACTTTGGTTCACATGGCGACATGGAGAAAGGACAAACAAAACAAAACAAAAAAACAAGCTTCAGCAAACAACATCGCAGAAATGAGCCAAGTGTGCGCCGACATTGGCATGCAAAAGTTTTCAAGATCAACCCAGTGAGTGTGCCGACACACTGCAGACTAGAGGAGGGTTATCCTGCGCTCCAGATCGGCCGTATGATACGTTTGACTTTCCTGAAGGACCATACCTCCATATTTTGCTCTTTGCATTCCGCAGGATAGGCTACTGAAAGAGAGGGAGGTAGGGGGGGGGGATGTAGATCGACTCAAATTGGGGTGATAAGAGCTGTGCGGTCGCCTGTCTGCCCAAAGCCCTTTGTTGTGATGTGCCACACCCCCGCTAGACAGACCGCCAGCTGATCTGGCCAGCAACAGACTCAGCTAGTTGAGCCTCGACCGAGGAGCCTCTCCTCCTTTTCCTCTCCTCTGTAGACTGCAGATCGCACCCCCTCTGTTCTTCGCACACAGCAGCCTGACAGCACAGAAACAAAACAGATCTCTCTCTAGATCGCACGAGAAACGCCTTGTGTGAACTTGACCTACATTTGAGTCATATAGATGTTTCGATCTACAGCAATGTGTGCAAGTAAAACTACAGCTGTACACATAATTCAATATATGTGGGACCTGCTTGGCGCGGAGCCCTTATTGCACAATTGACCCCTCATTTGTCTCATTATTTAAAAATCTGTAACACATTCTTACAGAGGGTGAATACTTGTCTGGTTGCCTATTAAGCTTTTCTTTATGCCTGCCTTTGTATGAGGATACACTCCCCCTGCCTAGCTTTGTGATTGGTTTGTGTCCTTTATATCTCTAGATTTATGATCCTTTAGAAGTATTTCATATGCATACCATATGTTGCATAACAAATCATACATATAAAACTGTAAGTGCACACAATAAGACACCATAGGCCTGTTATATCATATAATCTATCTATAATCTATATTGGTATTGTTGTCTTTAATTAATTCTTATTAAGAATTACATATACACCACCTTTTATCCATCAGCTGCAGCTTGGTGCTGACTGCAGTGGTGTATAATAGGTGTTTTTCAAGAACAGACAAAGAAAACACTGATTTGACTTATGCTTGTTCATAAAATGGGGGTGTATTCAGCCCTTTTAGGGAAATGACTTCCTAAAGAAAACAAAATGCCTGTATCTCCTGAAGGTTTATGTCTGTCTATCAGCCCTGCCCTTGTCTCATTTGCCTGTTAAGCCTTTCCTTTATTTTGGGATACACTCCTGTGTCTGGCTTTGTGATTGGTTTGTGTCGTATAATTTCTGACAATAAGGACGCTTTCTGCATATTTGATTGGATAATCACAGAACGTGAGTCATCTCAGTTCAGGTGCCTTGTCTCAGCCAAACTTGCAGCAGCGCTCTCAGAGAGCCAGCCCCCAGCCCGCTGTGTGCTTCCCTTCAGCCAGGACCATGTGTTTTTAGTGCAGTTTTATTGCTCCGTATTAGCCCTGCCCTTGTCTCTATGCCTATTAAGCGTTTCCTTTCGGCTGCCTTTCTATTTAGATATTTTCAGCAGCTGCCTTCACGATTGGTTTGTGTGCCATAAATTCTGATAATAATGTCTCTTTCTGCTTATTTGATTGGATAGTCCCAGAATGTGGGTCATCTGAGTTCAGGCAGGCTGCTTCAGCCAACCTTGCAGTGCTTACACTGAGCCAGACTCTGGCAGTGTGCTTCCCTTCAGCCCCTACTAGCAGAGTCAGGAGAGAATGGATTCCAGCTCAGTCAGTCCCAGCCAAACACCACTATCTAATTGAGGGGGGAAACACTCTTAAAGACACAAAACAAAGAGCCAGGGACAAGGCGTCCTTACTTGACTTCTGTAACGCCCAAAGCCTCATCATCCCAGCTTTTGCAATCCTTGCGTTCGTGTGTGATTTGTCGGAGTGTAAGAGGAGCTGAAACCTGAGCCACATTGTATTTCTTATGCAATGTCTACAGCACATCAGAAGATCAATCCCATTACTAGCTCAAAATGAACTTCACCCAGTTGTCATGTCTTATGAGAGGCATCATAGTTTTTATTTTAATCCATGCAAGAATTATTACAGTTAAGTAACACTTTTTTGGGGGGGTTAAATTACTTACATTGTCTTTTGCAAACTTCTGAAACATTGTTAAGTGTCAGTTCACCTGATTTAAATATTACCCAAGCATTAAAGAAGGTTTCAGCTTTATTTGTATAGGTTTTGAGAAGTCTTCTGGTTAGATATTTAGTTAATTTGTATTGCTCAAAGAGTTAAAAAATATACATAAAAAGGAAAAAATGTGCTCGAGACCTTGCTATGGTTTTCAAAGGGAAGCTACAAAGAAAAAGTGTAACAGCGAGGCTTGTGGATTAGCCTGAGTCTACTCTGTCTCTTTAAAGGTATGAATAACTTCTTGGTCAAGGGTCCCCTTAGTGGAGACTAAGTAGTTTCATTTAAGGTTTCTTCGCAAACCGCAGTAGCCTTCTCCAACACAGTGTAACAGGGACACCAGGATGTAGCAGACGTAACAGTACACGCTGAATTTAAATCGCTCATTATATTGCATTGAGTTTGATGGTGAGGAATCCACCGCAGTTTAGGGGTCTAAGGTTACCAGACAGCTTTTGTCTGATCTCCTGGTGTGGGAGGCGGGGCTTTTCTCAGACACATATATTTATCCTGCAGTATGGAAAATTCAGTCATGTAGCAGATAAACTCAGTTTTAAATGAAACAAATGAAGGCCATATAAATAAAACTGCTTCCGATTCTTATTAAGGACAACACCAGTTCCTTTTCATTCATGCTTTTTCAACTCTTTGTCTAGAGATGCATAACCAACTCTTAACGATGAAGATCCACTTTCCCAAGAGGAGTTTTGTGGTCATAGAGTACATGGTGTTCTCTGTGAAGCCTCATTACTCTGTTCTGGTCATGTCATGCAGACTGCCGTCTCTAAAGGAGAGATGGCCCCTGACAAGCTCATTACAAGTCACGTCTTCTTCAGAAAGAACAGCCTGGACCCTCAGTGCCCCCCACAGCTGGGCCTCACAAAAGGCCATCTTGTCTGTGTACAAGACCTATTCGAAAACTATTCGAATTACCAGGAGGAACAGGGTCAATGTGTCTTAAAGACAAAGAGCCTATAATGACATATTTTACAGTTGGTTTGACGTTTTGTCTGGGCCTCTTTTGTGTTCTGCTGGGGGTACCTCTAATACTGTGAGATGGCTGTAAATCCCTGTCCTAAAAAATAAGTGGCACCACCTGGCAGCACAGCTCCACTGCCATATAGACCCAGTTATTCATGCATGCTTTCTATTTTCGGCCGAATAACTGTGGTTAATGACACTTTTTAAAACGTAAAATTATCCCATATTCCACACGGAAAAAAAAGAAGCAGGAGTCTCTGATTATATATACTGCATCCTTGCCAGTGGTTTTATATTTGGCTGCACTGCTACACAGAGTGCACAGTGTTCCTGTGTGGCTGGTGGCAGTGATGAGGTAGCAGGGTGGAGATGGGGTTTTCCTGCTTTTGCTTGAGCATGACCTTGGCACAGCAATGGGTAAAAACTCTACTGGGGCACAAGAGGTCAGTCTGTCTACCTGCCACACGGCAGGATTTCCACCATCCCGCCCAGTTAAGCTTTATTTCTCCTGACGTGTAATAAAGTGATGACTGCTCAGTCATGAGGTGCTCAACAGTTTCCATTTGTCCCCATTCTGGTGACATTACAAATGTTAACGCTGTGTTGGTCAGTCCACAACTTTGGTCCAGACTGAAATGTGTTAGATTGCCATTGAATTTTGTACAGACATTCATGGTCCAGATAGGATGACTCTCACAGACTTTAGTGACCTTGAGTTTTCTTCTAGCAGGTCACTTTTTTACTTATCCTGTGAAATAGCACAGTCTCTAATGACTTTGGTGACACCTATGAGTTTGACGTGTTATTTTGAATAAAATTTCCCAACAGATTGCAGTACAATTTGGTACAGGGTTTTACCCAGTGCCAAGTTATCATTGTAATTTGTCCAGTACTTTGATCTATGACAAAATGCCAAAAGCAATGACACTCCCATTAATCTCAGCTGTACTTTGTGTTTAGTGGTAATTAGCAATGTTAACATACTAACACACTAAGAGATGTTAAACATTAACTGCTAAACATCAGCATGTTAACAATGTGAGTGTTAGCATGCTCACATTAGCATAGCTAGCTGCACTAGATAGCACAGTACAGCCTCACAGAGCTGCTAACGTAGCTGCAAACACATTCTCGTGCTTTCCTCTGCTGTTAGATAAGACATTTTCCTAAAACCAGCCCTCATGAACAAAATCTGGTTGGCCTCTGAAGGCCACATGTAGCAGTAGAGTGTGTGTCCAATGGAAACAAGGTATTAGTTAAATCTACTTGATCCTCGGGAT